TCCTCAGTCCTACCCTAAGAGGCCCCGTGTCTCAGTGTCCTGGTAATCGCTGCAAGCACCTCTGAGAGAAAGCCGCCCTCAAGCTCCGACCGGTGCCAGACAGTCCAGTTTCTCCCCGTATGAGTCTGGGTCCCCAGAGACTCACCCGGAACTGGAGTTCAGAGCAGTCGGGAGCTTGTGTCTCCCTCCCGATTGAAAAACACAGCCGAGTCCTCAGTTGCCAGCCCTTTCCGCATGCACCTCCGTACCTCTGCACTCTACTTCCACACCTCCTCCGAGTCTCAGTGTGCTTTTCTCTTTCCTTCTAGTTGTAGAATTTCCACTCAGCCAGCCTTCCTGTGGTTCTGGATGATGTCCATTTTGTCTTTTAGTTGTATTTTTGAAGTGGTTGTGTGAGGCAGCAATTTCTGGTATTTACCTATGCCGCCATCATGGTTTCTTCCTTTTTGGTTGTTTTGGAATTATTTTAATAGAACATGTTATGCTAGAGATAAATAAAGTAAATGAGAGTGGCCTGAAGAGGAATGGCAGACTGTAATCATGCCTGATTTACGTTTTCAAGGAGATCTAAATAGCTATCCCATAACGAACAGATAACACTTCACCATAACCCCAAGAGATACTCTGGGCTATGATTATGTTTCTCTTTAGCTAGAGATAGCAGCACAAAAAAGGAAGGCATTTCAAGGTGACATTCAAAATGAGGAATATTTGGGAGATGGGTGACATAGGTTCATGATGAAACTCACACAACTGACCTACTAGTGTCTTTGCAATCAAGAAGAAGGCAAGCAATAAATGTAAGACCTGAAACCATAAAACCCCTACAAGAAAAAAATAGGCAATAAGTTGTTTGTCATTGGTCTTAGCAATATTCTTTTTTGGGCCTGTCTTCTAGGGCAAAGACAACAAAAGCAAAAATAAAGAAATGGGACTACAAAGCTTTTGCATCAAACTACAAAGCCTTTGTATCACATCAATAAACAAAGGGGCAACTATTGAATAGGAGAAGATATTTGCAAATGATATATCCAATGAGGGATTAATATCTAAAATATACAAAAAACTCATATAGCTCAATATAAAAAACAAGCAGTCAAATTAAAAAATGGACAGAGGAGGTCTTAACCTGGGGCCACCATATATATATATATATCACCTAATAATAGACAAACATGTAAATTAACCATCCCTCTGTTATGCTCACCAGCCAATCAGGAGAGTATGCAAATTAACCAAAAAAGGATAGCGGTTAATTTGCATATGTAGGGGCGAAGCAGCAGAGCGAGGACTGAAGGCTCCATCTGGAGCGAAGGCCTGGGTCCCGGGTGCTGGAGGAAAACTGGTGCCGGCAGCCAGGGGAAGGGAAGGTCTATTGCAAGAATCTCTTCATGCAACAAGCCTTAACCTGGGGCCA